TCAGGTGGTAAATAGGATTATTAATTGTGATTAATAAAATTTTAAATATACATATTTCATCACCCCACCCCTCATTCATTCCCAAACCCATTCAGACCTCTTTCTTCTCTTTGTATATTTTCTCTCTCCCCTTACCGCACACTCGCCCACTCTCTCCGGCACCACTACCTCCTCCCACACCCAAACCTTATCGGCAATTCCGTCTCCTCCCCCCTTTCTCTCTATGACCACACACCCACAACACATGCACCAACTGATGGTCCTCCTCTTTAAAATTACCGACTGCGGCGGAGCTTCTCGTCGGGTTGGAGGCGCTAATGCCGCTCACCACGCCGTTGCCGACGTCGCTTCTAGGAATCGAGTTCGATTGTGAACCAGAGTATCGAACCAAATAAACCAATACCGATTTATTTTGGACCGAAGATCACCGGCACCAACCCGCAATTTCTTTATAGACGTCTTCCGTCTCCAACTATGCTGCCACATCATTTGATTACAAAGGTAATTGATTTTTTTAATCTTGTTTTTTAACTACAAATTCAATGAGTAGTTACATCGTCTATTTTACTCTTTAGGTCTTTTGGGTTTCTTTATTTGCTGCAATTAATATTTTGCTGGAATTTGATTTGCTGAAATTTGATTAAGTTTGAAGAATAAGCCTTTTTCTAGACTTCAAAATTAGTTTAGGGTTTAGTTTATAACTTTGGTATTTGTATGCTTACAATGTCCCATATTTTATACTCTCTAATTTTTATGATCTGCCATTTAATGACATTCTAAATTGGCATAAATTTTCGGTCATACTACATGAGAAAGATGTCTACCAAGGGGGTTTGCAATTCCTAAAGTTCTAACAATGCTATCGTGGTCTTTCATCAACACTGATATGGAGGGACAAAATATCAAGTGTCACCAATTGTGAAACTGGAGGGCTATTGGCTGCAGGTTGAACAAGCTTAGGATTTTGAGAGTGATGATTATAACTATGGACGAATCAATTGTATTCAGAAATTTGTAAACAGTTTCCGTCTCGTCTTTGGCTTCAATGGTGTTGAGTTATTACAATACATCGTTTGTAATTGTAGTTATAATACTCCGGCTTCAATGTGTTGAGGTATTACAATACTTCGTAGCATAATTTGTAATTGTATACCACCACATTTTGTCTATGTTCGATCGAATTTGGTCTTCTTGATTTTTTTGATGGTGTTGGTCGTAAATTTGAGTTGAAGTGGTAGTGGTGGTGCATTGTAGGTGATGGTGGTAATGACTAGTGGTGGATTTTGGTGCTTGTTCTTAGTGGAAGCGGATTTGTTTGTGGTGACCATTTGCGACCAAATATGTGTTTGGTTGTGATCAAATCTGTGTTAATTGTGATTGGTTATGATCAATTATGTATTAATTGTTACCGATTATGACTCGTTATGACCAATTCTGTGTTAATTGTGACTTGATCACATACCGTCACGATTAAGATTGACTTGGTCAGTCATATTGAATCCAAATTTGGTCACAATTAGTCACGGATGACACATCATCAACTTGATATTTTTAATTTTTGAAAATTTTTTGCAAGGTAGGGGTGTGGTAGGAGGATCCATGGATTGGGGGTGTAATTTCAAATTTTTAATTTTTGGAAATTTTTTGAAAGGTAAGGTGGGTTGTGGTGGGGTAGGGTGGATGGGTGGCGTAGGGGATGGCGATGTGGGGTGAGGTAGGGATAATTAATTATATATTAGATATATTTAATTGGAATTAACACCTGAATTTTGAAATAATTT